TGGGCTGGCTCCATTGCATTAGGTATCATTTTCTTTTGCCTGCCGCTGTCCACCATGGTCATGACCCGCCTCAATATCCGTTACAGTGCAGTACTTGGAATTCTAATGTGCATAACAAGTCTTGTTGCAACTTCATTCACTACAAACATCATCCAGGTCTTCTTCTCCTACAGTATTCTCTACGGACTGGGATTGTCGTTACTTTTTAATTCTTGCATATTCGCCACAACAAAATATTTTCACAAGAGACAAGCTATCGCCATTGGCATCGTTTGTAGCGGAACATACATAGGAGTCTTGTCACTTGGACCTATCGTTCAGTTGCTGATAGATTTGTATGGCTTCAGGACGATGTACAGGATCATGGCTGGTTCGTTTGTACTACCATTACTTGCTGTTTGCAGCTTTGATCCCAATGTTAAGGACCCATCCACCGAAGTCTTGCAAACACAAAAGGGGAACGATGAAAACAAGCCCACCGAGAAAGGATGTGTGATTGTGGTGGAGCTGTTGAAGAGACCGATGTACGTGGTTGCAGCTATTGCTCTCGCTTTACAAGCAATGACTGCATTTGTGTCGTTTGTGCATTTGGTAAGTTAATCAGTATACAGTATAGAGACGTTACTATGATCATGCCATGCATGCATGGCAAAGCCATGGCATGAATGCAAGTATCATTTGATATTAAGGACTTTACCAGTCAATCTTCACAAAGATATAGACTTGGCTTTCTTGATTGATTAGCCATCGGGATGAATATAAATCGTCCTTATTATACGAGTGTTCGGTGTCTAATAAACTTGTTACCCTTTTTAAACTATGAATAAATCTGGGAGAAAAAAAAATGATACCCATTAGACACCCAATTTCTTTTTCTTGTGTTACCCTAATTTCAACCTACAATTTTCAAGATCTATCAAATTCATAATGTTTTTTTTTTTTTTTTTCCCAGGTTAGTTACTGTCTTGAGGTGGGCATTTCAGCACAGAAAGCCTCCAAACTCTTCATAGTGATTGGTGTTTGTTCGGTGGTCAGTGGTATCGTAGCGGGGAGGTTGATGGACTACAAAAGAGTCAATCCATTCCATGTTAACCAGGCTGGATCTCTAAGCATGGGACTCGCTACAATTCTACTTCAACTGTCTTCAAGTTATATTCTCTTCATATTTTTTTCTATTTTTCTTGGTTTTGGCGTCGGTGTCTTTAATACCACGATCGTCGTACTGCTACTTCGAACCGTCGAACCAAGGCTAAGACTGTATTCATTTCCAATTGGAGAGATGCTGGCAGCTATTGGTAATATCACGGGATCACCCCTCATAGGTGTGTGTTATTTAAAAAGCTTTTTCGTTCCCTCCAAACGTTTTTATACTTTTTTGATATAATGGAACGATAAGAATAAAAATATTTCCGGTCGTGTGATATTTTATAATTTTCGAAACGCAAATAATTACTTATTTTGCTTGCCACCTTTTTCTGTATTTCCTTTTGCTTGCGGCATTTTTGTATAGTAAAAGGGTATTAGCATGTGTGCGCCTAATTTCGCTGCGAATTTCTTACCGCACTATTACATCTCTCCTGCTTCTTTCTGGTGGTTGCACTCTATTCAATATTCTTATTTTTATTTTTTTTATTTTTCCAATTCAATAAAGGTTTTATCGCCGACACAACTGGTTCATACAAACCAGCCTTTTACACCGCTGGAGCCATTTTACTGCTATCATTCTTCCTTCCCTTTTTACAATACTACTTTAAACCATGGAGGACACTGGAAATGGAAGAACAAGAAGCACAAAAGGTAGATTGTGATCGTCAAGTTATGCTTGATGTTCAACACAACCGTCAAAGTGTTGGTAAGGAAGAAACTGTAGCATTGGAAATGATGCAATGATGAAAATAATGAAGATGACACCATTTTGCAAAGAACTCATCAACGGTAATGGTGTTACTATAAAAGAAAATATATATGTTTGAAACAATTGCGCCGATGATGATGGTGGTATTGATGGGCAAAGACTATTGATATAGACAACGAAGATCATCAGGTTTAATATGTGAAGCACATAACGACACTTTACTTTGCTTTGTCCGTAATAACACCTGAAGGGTGCAGAATGCGAAAAATCGAAATCACTCAAATTTTGTCAGAATAAAGGCGTTAGTGAGCTTTAGCTGTTGTATAAGTTTAATTCGTTCGGGAAAATATTTTAGGAGAACTACGCCGAAATCCATTTTTTGGGATCACTTTTGGTTTCTTCACGCGATTTCAAATCATGTTTTTTATGAGCTTTTCAGCGCTGTTTAGTGCCCAGTCGCTGCCAGTTCTGCAATGGCAGACAGAAATAATCGACGAAATCCTAATGCAAGGAGACTTGTACTAGTTGAACGCTCTTGCAGTCTTATTCCAGACGAAGAAACGCTGTCCCTTAATTATCTGCCTGACAGAGTACGTTTGGCTAAGATGATCACAAGCTAAATATCATAGATTCCGTTCAGAAATAACTGTAAAATAAATAACTGTCAGTCATAACTGTAATTCCACTCTAAAGAAATTGCTGTATTCATGACATATTGTTGTGTTATACATAAACGTACAAAAATTTATATTTAGAAACATACATTTTATATAGAGACACAGATATATATAATATATATATATATTTAGGCACTGCCTAAAAGCGGATCTCCCGATACGAAAGTCACAGGGAGAACAATTTGAATGAAACTGAAAGTTAAAAATAAGATCGGGGAAAAAATCTTCAATTATGTTTTATTCGAGATGAAGATAATTTCTCCCATGATAAAAACCATGCAGTGAAATCGAATC